TATATTACATTGTGCTCACCCACTGAAGACATCTGGGTTGTTTTCAATTTTGAATTATTACATATCAAGCTTCTATAAATATTCATGTACAGATCTTCCATGAAAATATGTTTTTATTTCTCTGGCATAAGTCCTCAAAGGTACAGCTGCTGGGGTCAAAATACAGTCACATGCTTAGTTGTTGTCCCAACAGCAATAGATGAGTGATTCAGTTTCTCAGAATTCTTGCTAAATTTTGTCAGTGACACTTCATGTATCTAATGTCAGCCATTCACATAGAAGTGGGAAGATTTGTCATAGTGATTAAACATGCATTTACCCAGTGGCTAACAATGTTAATTTACTTTTGAATATTGAATCAGTCTTCAAACACTAACATAAATCTCACTTGGTCATGGAGTATAATTCTTTTAAATATTGCTGAATTCTGTTTGCTAATGTTTTGTTAAGAATTTTTGGGTCCATTTTTATGGGAAATATCGGCCTATGGTTTTCAGTACTGATTTTGCCTGGTTTGGGTATTGGAGTAAGAGTGACTATATAAATAAATTAGGGGGCTGGGGAGATGGTTCAGTAGATGGCAAGCGCAAGGGCCTGAGTTCAATCCCCAGTTCCACCAAAAATAAATAAATAGGGAAGCGTTTTCTCTTATTTTCTGAAACATGTACATAAAAGGTATGAATTTTTAAAATGCTTACATAGAATCCTCCAACGAAATCTTAGGGGCCTAGAGATTTCTTTCCAGGAAAATTTCAAATTATGAATTAAATTTCCTTAATAGTTCTAGGGCTATTCAATTATTTCATTTTGGCTGAGTTATGACAATTTGTATTGTAGTACTGTATTTACCCATTTATTCCTTTTTTTTTTTTTTATTTTTGTGTGTGTGTGTGTGTGTGTGTGTGTGGCCAGCTCAGCCCACCAGGGGGCAGGGCTGGCTGGCATGTGGTGCTGGGGGATTGAACCGCGGTCCCTGTGCTTTGCTAAGCTTGTTCTGAGTAGGTGCTTTAGACCACTGAGCCATCTCACCAGCCCCTACCCATTTATTCCTTAATGTCTTTTTTCTTGATTCCCAAGTTTCCTATATTCCAGATCATGAGTTGTCTCCTGAACTTTGATAGAGCTTCTCTGTCCGTGCCATTGCTATGGCCAGGTTGCTGGTTTTTCACTTTTTCAAGACTGGGATATGAATCCAGGGAGATAGCTCAGCGGTGCCTGCCAACCGCTATGTCCTGAGTTCAATCTCTGGTTAAAAACAAAGAAACAAACAAAAAACAAGGATATGAGACAAAACAAATAGACAATTAACCATAGTATGTGTTTCTTGTGTTCCCAGACCCCTAGTTAGTCTGTTTTCCTTCAACCTTTTGGAATCTCATATATATAATGTTTAGGACTTTTAGCTGTATTTATTGAGAGGAACAAGGAAAATGTCTACTCCATCTTCCCAGAAGCAGAAGTCTATGTTTCAATCACTAGAAAGTATTAATAGTGGAAGGAACTTTGAAGTTAATCCTTTCTCAGTTAATACCAACTCCCTAAGTTGTTATTCTATAAATTGAAGCTTTTTATATGGGTATACTTTCAAAGAACATCTAGAGATTATTTGCATATTTCTGAACACAGACTGGAACTGTCCTCTTTCAACATTTGAATTAAATTTTCCTAAATAATTACTTAAATTTTTTTTTTTCCTTAGCCCACTCTACACAGATCAGACTCGTAGTGATCTTCCTGTTTTTCAGCCTCCCAAGCACTGGGATTACAGGCATGCACCACCATGCCTGGTCTCAGTTGTCCTCTTAGTGGGCCCTGGGGGGTAGGGCTGGCGCAGCAGGCCAGGGAAACAAACTCCTGGCCCCTGTGTCTACCTAAGCAGGCCCTTTAGTCCGCTGAGCTATCTGGCAGGCCTCAATAAAACAATTCTTTAAACTGTCTAGTGTTAAATAATATGAGATTTCTCATGTCTTTCTTTTCTTTTTCTTTCAATGTATTTGGTACAGGGTCTCACTACACAGCCAGACTCATAGTGATCCTCCTATTTTCAGCCTCCCCCAGTGCTGGAATTACAGGCATGCACCACCACGCCGGACTCAGTTGCCCACTCAGTGAAGCCCAGGGGTGGGGCCAGCATGGCCTGCAGGACAGGTCTTCAATCCCCAGTCCCTGTGCTTTTCTAAGCAGCTGCTTAGTCCGCTGAGCTATCTCAGAGGTCCTGTCATGTCTTTCCAGAGGAATAAATGGACACAATACTTCTCATAAGTATTCTATTTTAGAAACTTACCTGCATCCAAAAGATTACTTCATTTATCTTACTGAATTTTTATACTGATAACAATTGCCTGTTTGTTTGTTTTTTTTTAATGTATTTGATACAGGGTCTTACTATGCAGCTTGACTCATAGTGATCCTCCTGTTTTCAGCTCCCCCCCAGCTCTGGGCTTACAGGCATGTGCCACCACGCCTGGACTCAATGACCGGCTCAGCACACTCAGGGCAGGGCCGGCATGCCATGTGGCACCAGGCACAACTGCCTATTAAACGTACTTACTTAATGATTTTGGGGGCTACAGATCTATTTTTTTTCTCAACATTCATTCCTTCTTCTCAAATATCTATTTACTTATCTATCCATATTCTATAATTAATTTAGCAATACTTTCATTTATTGTCCTGTAACTGTGTGCCTGTCGCTGTGTTTAAGACAGTAAAGTGACGCACAGAGAGGCTGAACGGCAAGTGCTCCTAAGTGCTAACTCCAGCAAAAGGTCCTCCGACTCCCAGCTCCACGCTGTTTGGTCAGTGCTGCGGCTCATAAAGTAAGCATGGTTTCTTCCTAGGTGAAAGCTTATAGGTTTGTTTTCTTCTTTGAATGCTGTTCTATAACTGCTAACACTCTTGGATTTTTATCTTGGATCAATTTTTTTCACCTAAGAAAAAAATTAATATAGAAATTCAAAATATACTAATAAAAGGCTTTTAAGTTTAAAGTTTATTTACTATTTTTAAATTTCTTTGAATATCATTTTAAAATTCCAACAATTCTTTACAGTTTTGCCATGAGCGTTGCTGTATTACATTTGACAGAAAACACCAACCGGTAATTGTTATTATCCATGCAAACTGTGCAAAGATAAAAAATAACAGGAAAAGAAAAATAAAGTGAACCATGTTTATAAACCCTTATTAATGGGAAACATACTTTTAAGGAAAGTAGTTTTGATTTATTATAGAAAACAGAGACAAGATGTGTCCACGTGTAAACATCTCTATTCAGCACAGAACTATTTTATATTAACTTTTTTTACTTTTATTAAACTTCATAGGATACTTAGCAATTTTCTTAAACTCAGTTTTAAAACATCAGATAACCAACATTTTTTCTTTCAAAAGATTATGAACATATGTAAGATAAATCCTCTTATATATGCTAATACTTCATTCTTTTGCAGTCATTTAAATTATTTCCAAAACATGCAAGGACCTGAGTTCAATCCCCAGTTCTGAAAAAAAAAAAAAAAAAAAAAATCCAAAACATTAATCAAGTGAATTCTTTATTAACGGCTTAGTCAGTAGTTCTTTACAATTTTCGCTATTTGCTATTCTTTTAGATTTTAAAATTTTTCCTTTTTTTAATCTTTAGAAAAATAGAGTGCAGTTACCATGCATTCCCTGATTTATATATGTTCTTATTTTACAATGCAACCTGCAAATACAAAAATAAGTCCTGCTTGGTTTTTGTACGAGTATACTTATTCTAGGTAAATTTCCCTGCAGACATAATACACTTCCATTTAGGAAGATTCAGATTAAATTCGTTTTTTTTTTTTTTTTCTTGTCTTTTTGAGAAAGGGTCTTGCTATAAACTTTTTTCTTTAACCTATATACAGTCCTATTTGAGGGCCTCTTTTCCATGTTCACTACTGTATCTAATTGCTACCAAATTAATATTAGAAAATGTTGAAATCATGTGTTTTAGTCATTTGAAATATGTTCCCTTCTATATTCAACTTCCCAGTGATAAAAATGGTCTTGTAGACTCCAAATGTAAGTTAAATAAAGCAGCTCTTCTGTAAAATGATTGCTATACGGAATGAACTTTATTAGCAGAGTTATTGACACACCTTAATAAAAATTTAAGAACCTCTAGAAGTCAACAATTGCTATATATATATATATTTTTTTTTTTTTTTTGCTATATATTTTCAAAGCACGTGGTGCACTTTCAAGTAAGGCAATTGAAACTAAACATCTTGTTCATGCGAGGAATACTATCACAGGAAAAGATCACCACCTAGCTATGCGAATTTTAAATAGTCGGACACAGTAAATTTATATACCAGAACAATCTGGGTAAAGATTATAACCGGGCTTAAAAATGTCTAGCTCTCCCATTTTAAATTATTTTCAGTTCCAAAACTACAAGGCATTTTAGTTTCTCATGACGGCTAGGTAAGGAGAGAAAGGCTCATTTCTAACAGAACTTGATTTTATATGAGAAACACACCTGTAGATGCCAACCCTCATTTTATAAATCATCTAAATGTTTAATGTCATCGTCGTTTCGGGCTACTTCAGTAGCCTATCCTGTGCGAAGGAGACGGCTGTCAGCGCAGGTCTATCTCCCAAAGCCATTTCTTTCTGTTCTTTCCCAGGGAGCCTGAACTGTTGCTGCGGGGTGTGCGTGCGGCTTGCCCCCGGGCCCCGGCTGGCACTGGAGGCGCGCGCCCTGGCAGGGAGCGGGGCTGGGGAAGGGTCGGGCTCCGGGAGGGCGCTGCCAAGGCCGCCGGCAGTCACGCGAGCAGGCCATCTTGCTCGAGGCCGCCGCCTCTGCGACCACGAGCCTCACGCGCGTCTGAGAACCGAGGTGCCGCAGCATCCGGGCAGAGCCGGCAGCGGCTCGCCGGGCTCGGAAGCCCAAGCCGCCGACGTGCCAGCGCCGCCGCGTTGCCAAGGCGACCGCCGCCGAACGTCCCGGCGGCGCCCCGCCCCCCGGCCAATCGGACCGGCGCTCTCCAGAGCCCGGATTCTCTTTGTTCCGCAGCCATTTCAGGCCCCGGACGCGAGGCAGCGTCGCTTCGCTTCGGCAGAGGGCCCGAGCGCCGGAGGCCTCTGGGATGGTGTGGGATCGGGTGAGTGGCGCGAGGGCGTGCGGCCCGCGGCCGGCGTGGCGGGGGAGCGCGGGAGCGCGGGCGAGGAGCTCCAGAGCTGCCCGAGGGGCGCAGGGCCCGGCTGCCCCAACCTGTGGAGACCGGAGGCTGCGGAGGCGGCGGCGGCGGCGGCGGCGGCCGGGCAGCTCCTCAGGTGTCCGAGGTCGGGCTTCGGGCCTCGTTCGCCGCAGCGGCGGCGGCGGCGGGGGAGGTTTGCGGCCCGGGGAGCTCGATCCGGGCCCGGGGAGCTGCGGCGTCCGACGGCCCCTGGGTGCGGGCAAGGGCTGCGCCGAGACGGCTGCTTCCGCCGTGAGCGCTGCGGGACGGGCGCCGCCTTTGTGCCGCCGCGGACCCCGGCCCGGGCCTCGGGGAGGTGCGCGGACGCTGTGTCCCGGCCGGCCGTTCCTTCCCTTTGGGGACTCGTGGCTTCGCGGCGGCGTGTTTACACGGTTTCAGTGCTCGGGACTGCGAGTTTTGCGTGGGCTTGTTGGTGGCTTTTGCATTTCTGCCGCCACTCCTACGTAGCACGCGACGGGGGACCCAGCTGCTGGGGAGCGGACCCGCCGCCGCAGGCTGGCTGTGGAATGGCTTTTTTCCTTTGAAAATGATCGTTGTGTTTGTTCACTGATTCTAAAATTCGAACGGGATTTTGCAAGGATTTCTTAGGAGTATAAATCTGTTGTCTTAAGCGCCATCATTCTGTTCGGTCAGCAGATATAAATGTAGAAACTTGGAAGTTGGAGCTGCCCGCTAATTGGTTTTGACAGTTGTGTTAAGAAGCTTAATACACGCCCGTCTTTGTAACGGTGACGACTCGGAGGATGAGTCCTTAAATTATAGGCTCTCTCCCCAAGAAAGGTACTTTTAAAATGTTTGGTGCAGAGGTACTTAGAAATAGTGGATTGTAAAAATGGCTTCCAAACATGCTCGGTTTTTTAGGATAACAAAAGTCCCTGCTGGATTGGAAGTTTACAGGTTATGTCAGAACTGTCGTTTTACAGTGGCGAGGAATTTTTTAGTGAAACAGGAGGATCCTGTCCTCTGCGTTCTCCCTCCCCTGAACCCTGGCTCTTCTAAAGAATGGCTGCAGCGAGTTGAAAACTTGGAACTGCAAATGGGAAATACTAGTGTGAAGGTGCACTTTCAAAACAACAACACTGCGTGGCATATCAGTGTGTAAATACATAACCGCTTGGCAAAGAACTTCGTTTACTCGATGTCATTTAATGTAAGCCTACTGAAGTACTGTGTTAGTGCTCCATTTTCTTTTTCTTGGAAGAGCCCTCCACGTTGGCTTAGCTTTTATGTGGTTGCATTTTCAACCTGGTCAGGAATTATTAAATTCCTCTCATTAAAATAGCCGTGAAATCATTTTTCTTAAACTTATATTTCCATTCCTAAAGCCTTTTACCACTGTATAATATGAGTTGAGTAAGATTTTAGTAAAAATATATATACTATTTGGTTGTAAATGTTTTCACTATGAACGCTTAATTGTATTTGTTGCGTTTTTTTTCTGTCCATATTTATTTTAAAGACAGAAAATAAAAAAATACAGAATTTCAAAACAAGATTATATGAAAATAATCGTTGTTATGTTGCATATTGTTATCTTCAGAGTAGTTGCTCAGATTACCAGATGCAGGCAGGCAAAATTAAACAATATAAGCACTAGCTGTTCCTTTTAATGAACTAATAGAAATTAATAGTAAAATTATCTTAGCTGTTTTGTGTGTATATACATCATTTTTCCCTTCTCCTTTTTCCCCATCCCAGTTCTTTCCTTTTAAAAATTTTTTAAAAAATTTTGAGAAACTAATAGCAATGAAACATTTTCAAAACCAATTAGTAGGACAGTTTCAATAATTAATACATTGCATATTGTTGTCTTCTTAGTGGTTATTCATTGTACAAGATGCAGACATGATATCCTGTCCAAACACTATTAGTACAAATCTTTTTAGTCATTGAATTAAGAGAAAATAGCTGTGTATGTAGCCTATTTTGAATATAAAGATACAAAATGGTTCTTCATTTGTATCCCCTTTTTTTGTTTAATTTTGTCAGAGATGGGTATTCCATTGTCATTTAAATATTGTAAATGCTTGAATTGAGCAATATACTCCAATATAGTCTAGTAGTCCATAATAGTAGTGGGTTATCCATAGAACTGGCACTGTTAGAAGTTGTTGACTTGAGCCTTTTGTAGCTCAGCGCATTAATATGACTTTACTTTTTATACT